CAAAAGACACAGTCGTGTGCAATGGCCTTGTGTCGAAACACTGTGTTAAAATGTCTACACACCCCAGGCTCAGGGGACGCTGGTGAACACAGGGGCAAAGCGCGGGGGGTGGGGGCGGGGCGTGCGAGGAACGTGCAATTGCCACTCAACTGCCTGTCAAGGGGATGAACAGAAATGACACTCGTGGGTGAAAGACAGAATGATGATGTGGGAGGTAAATAAGGTTCAGCTTCACCACGTGGGCTCAGAGCCAGCAGGGAACACAATCCCTCAGCTCCCAGGGCCGCAGACGTGGGTGGCAGGCACAGAGGACCTACCAGGGCCCCAGATCCTCGCCCCTCCCCACCTACCCCCGGCCCCGCCGCCCCGGAACGGCCCGACGAGCAGCCCGGACTCACCCAACCCCCCGTAAGGCCCTCGGCGGCCTTTGGCGGTGAGAGGAGGGCAGTTTCGCATTCAGAATGCAAAAATGAGACTGTGGACGTAACTGGAAAATGCCAGAGAAGAAAACAAAGCTGGGTGGGCAGGGGGTGGATGTCACCGCAGCTGGAGCTGTCCAAGTACAAGCAAAAGTTTACTCTCCAGGTCGTCCGGTCCTGTTTCTCAGGCAGCGACAGCGTCTTGTTCTGAGTTTGCTACGGGTTTCTAAACACGATTTCTGAACAGTGACGGTGAGTGTGGCTCCTTGGGAGGGGGGCGGAGTCCAGGGAGGGCACAGGGCAGCGGTGGGACCCTGTCACCACAGGGGGCAGGGCACGGGGCTCGGATGCCACCTTGAAGGCTCCCGCAGGTCGCAGATGAAATACTTGGAACATCAATAAGAGAGTAACTGCAATGGGCCAAAACACAGCCAACGTGTTTATGTCTATTTTTTTAAATAATGATATATGTATTTTTGAATCTCCTTTGTCACTTGGGGAGGATGTCAGAGAATCGACTTATTTTGAATATTAATGAATATGGGAAAGAAACAGGCAATTATCCTACACAAACTGTACCTCGGGGTAACAAAGAATTGGTGAGATGTTTTCCTACAGAGAAGTAACCGGGGGATAAACGAGGGAGGAACCCTAGAATTCAAACATCGCCACTTAGCAGCCCAGAAAGGGTGAATGGAGTCGGGGACCCATCCTCCGTAGCCGCTGACGCCGCAGGAAGAGACGTAACCTGGACAGTCTGTGGGGCCACCTAGAGAGCAGCCCTCAAAACGCTGCGCCGGACTGTGGCCGAGCTCCTAGACCCCCCACCAGGCTGCCGGCGCCGGCAGGCAGGGGAGCGGGCAGACGGAAGGCCGGGCCCGGGAACCCGCCATTTGGCCAACAGCGCAGGGACGGCTGTTTCAGGTAAGAACTATCAATGGACGCTAGATTAGGAGGGAAGAGAACAAGACGAAGAGGGTACTTACAGAGAGCCAAGACCCTTCCCTCAGGATACTTATTTCTTGCAAAGGGACAAATAGTCATTTCACAGCGGAGAACCCTGGCCGTGGTCACCTGCCTCCTGAGGGGATGGGCCCAGAGGGCACAGCGGTGCTTCTGTGAGGTTCCCGCCCCAGATGTGTAACATCAGGAAAAACCAGTCTGAGGGACATTCTACAAAAACCCCTGGCCAGTACTCCTCAAAACCGCCACGGTCCTGAGAGACAAAGGGAGGCTGAGGAACTGCCCGAGAGCAGAGGGCACCTTTTTCTGGGCCCTCTTGGCCAGAGCTGGCTGGACCCCACTAACAGGACTGGCCCCAGTTGTTTGATGAGCCTTTACCCTCAGGACTAGAAAATTTCTGCAAATGCCCTGAATGCGCAGAGGCTCCAGGAACTTACGACACAGAACAAACTGGAGCACAGCCACCAACGGGACCCTGCCCCCAAAGACAACATCCAAGCACGACGCAGCCTATACAAGACCAGCTGCACCAGCCGCCCTGTCCCCTAATGAAAGCGCGAAGCCCCGACGCCGGGGCTGGTGCCTCTCCCCGCACCTCGTCCTCTCGCTCACTCGGGAAAATAAAAACAAAACCTTTACCCTCTGCACGTCTTCCCTTTGTGAATTCTTTCGCAGCCCGTGTCACCGACCGCCCTGACAGGCACGGCCACCAAATGCAAGTGGCCCCGACCAGGTGCAGGTGGGATGGTCTCCGGTGACTGAGGCAGGCAGGTGAATTCGCCGGGAGACCTTCTGCAGAAAGTCTTGTAGCCGCACTGCTTGTTCTGTAAGATGTTGTCAGCGCTTGGGAAGTTGGTTTGAGAGCATATGGGAATTCCTTGTTACTGCTGTGGCAACTTTTTTACAAATGTGCAATTATGTCAACACAAACCGTTAAAAACCATTTTTAAAAGTGGCTTCTGAGCTGACAACTACTGAAGCTCTGTGCCGGGTTCGCGGGGGTTCCTTGTGCCGCTCGCGCTGCTTGCACAGGCAGCCGCCGCATTTCACAGTGGAAAGTTACACAGAGACTCAAGGGACAAAACAGCCGCGCGCAAGGACGCTGCAGACCTTGTTTGGGTTTGATTCAAACACATCAATGTAGAAGACCGTTTCTGAGACAGAGAAATTCAAGTATGGGTCAGTATAATTTTAAAAATGTGGATTGGTATTAGATCCACACTAAGGGGTTACTACTGATGTTGCGGGGTGGGTTTTTTTCATTGTGATACACACCAGACTGACCAATGTAGCCACGTGAAAGTTTCAGATCAGGGGCACGAAGCCCATTCTCTTCGCAGTGCTGTGCCACCATCGTCACCGTCTCCTCCCAGGCGTGTCTGTCACTCCCAAAGGGCACCTCACGCCCCTTACGCGGCCCCTCCCCGGCCCCCACACTACACAACCGCTCATCTGTTCTACGTCTCCACGGATTTGCCTATTCTGGGCATTTCCGCGTTTCACATAAATATAATGTAAAACGTGGCCTTTGTGACTGGCTTCTTCCACTTACCATGTTTTCGACTCACATTGTAGCGTTTAGCAGCATTTCGCCTTTTCTAGCGGAAATATTCCATTGTGTAATTAGACCACGTTTCATTTATCCATTCATTTGTGGATAAATATTTGCATTGTCTCTATCTGTTGGCTACTGTGAATGATGCTGCTACGAATACTCGTGCATAAGGTTTTATTTGAATACCTGTTTCAGTTCTTTTGGACATATGCCTGCGGGGGACGCTGCTGGGCCACGAGGTAAGTCTATGTTTGACTTGTTCTGAAACTGTTTCCCACAAAGGCCGTTCCACTTCCCATTCCTACTAGTATCCCCCATCAGGGCTCCGGTGTCTCCACATCCTCACCCAACGCTTGCTGTTTTCCGGGCTTTTGGTGTGTTCGCTCGCTTTCATCATTCCGGCCACCTGAGTGGGTGTGGGACGGGGCCTCGCTGTGGTTCTCACTTTCATTTCCCTAATGACTCACGAGGCAGAGCACCTTTTTGTGCATTTCCTGGCCATTCGGTGTTTTAAAGCTTTGTGAGGTTGTGTCTAAAATAGCTTTTATTTTTGAAAGGCACACTATAATAAGGATAGAGTCACAGTAAGTCTGAGTTTGCTTTTAAAATACCAGAGTTTAAAAGAAAAGTAAATTTCGTAAAAGAAAGGAAAAGGGGCTCTGGCCGGTGTGGCTCGGTTGGTTGGAGCATCGTCCCACACGCCAGAAAGGCCGTCAATTCCGTTCTTGTCTGGGCACGTACAAAAGGAAAACAATGGATGTGTCTCTCTCTCTCTCTCTTCCCCTTCCTCTCTCTCTCAAATCAATAAACATATTTTAAAAACTAAAGTAAAAGAAAGAAAAGGGGTAGAAGAAGGGAATTTGGCAATCTTTTAATTGTCCGATCTGGTGATGGGAGGACATATGGGGGGGTCCCTGTATCAGTCTCTCTGCTTTTGTGCATGTCTGTATGTGATTTGTCACCATAACAGAAGAAATTCCGCCCTATGAGACAAACCCATGAACCCGGCTTATTACTCCTGCAGGCTTCATCCGCTCCACACAAGCCTCTCCTTCTCAACCAGCCTCACAGGGGTTTCCTGGGTGTCTCCTGGGGACCCCGGGTTTCTGTGGCTCCTGCTGTCTATGAACAGCCAGGGGGGCTGGGGCACAGAGGTCCCCGACGTCGGTGGCCATGGGCTGTCATTCTCTAAGCATCGAGAGAGACCAGCACTTGGGACTGCAGCTCCCATGGCAAGTTCTGGTCCAACAGTAGTGAGGCCATGGTGGCCCTGGGGCACCAGCCTCGCCACAGGTTACTGACGCCCTGCCCTGGGGCCTCGTCCCAGACAGGCAGCAGGGCAGCCTGGGTCCCCGTTTCCCCAGCAATGCTCTCGGGAAACCGCCAGCTGCAGGGGACCAACTGCATGTGACCTGGGCGGAGGGGCACTGTGGACTCTAAAATCAAGACTGCTTTTTATCTTTTAAAGATGTACGTTCGGAGCCCTGGCTGGTGCAGCTCAGTGGATTGAGTGCCGGCCTGAGAACCCAAGAGTCTCAGGTTCGATTCCCAGTCAGGGCACATGCCAGGGTTGCAGGCCAGGTCCGCAGTGGGGGGCGCACGAGAGGCATCCACACGCTGATGTTTCCCTCCCTTCCTCCCTCCCCCTCTCTAAAAATAAATAAATAAAATTTAAAAAAAACAATGTGTGTTCAGAAGACAATCTGTCTCAAAACAGTCACCACGTAAAGGTGGCCAGAGGCATGGCTGTGTTTACGCATCTTTTCAACCGTGCTGTGCGCTGTCTTCCCAGGGACGGAGTTTTGTTGCACTGAAAGGACGTTCAGTTCTTAGCCTTTGAGGGAAGCAAAGCCGCTTAGAAAAGCCACGGGCATCTGTTTCCCAGTCTTAGGTGAAACCAATGTAACCGGTTAAATCATTCGGTGGGCCTCTATGCCATCTTTTCCCCCGTTCCAGCCAAATCAGGCCTTGCAGTGGAGGGCCCACACGTGGCTGCCCGGCCACCTGCGCCCTCAAAGCCCCAGGCGACACCGCCGCACGCGCGCTCCGCGAGGGCCACCTACCTGGTGGGCCTCCACGCCCATCTCCTGCAGCGCAGACGTGAAAAACTCGGGAGAGGGCTTCCCCACCACCTCGGCCTCGATCCCACAAGCGTACTGGGGGAGACAGGGACGCGGTGTGGGTTTGGGGTGGAGAGCAGGACACCAACCAGCCGGGAAGGCCTCTCGCAGGAGCCCCAAACATGCGCCTGGGGGCCAGGGGCCTCCGAGGGGCAGGACTCAGGAGCCGGACAGGCGAGGGCGTGAGGACGCCACACGGCAATGCCCGGGATGCGCGGGGCCCCCACCGGGAGCCCTGCCATCTGCTCAAATACCCAGCTGTGGGGGGACGTGGCTCACAGCTGGCAAAGGCGCCAAGCGCCATGTGGGCCACCCCGCCTGGTGTGTTCACTTGTATTCTTGCTGCCCCACCCCCCCCGCTGCCCAGGCCAGCTCCGTGACGGCCCCCCAGGGGAAAAGGCCCAGGGCCCCCCTTCCTGCCCACAGCAGCCACGGTCCGAGTGGCGGAGGCATGCTGGGGGGGCCAGCTGGGCCAGCACAGGGGGCGCGGGGGAAAGGGAGGGATGGGAGAACAGACTGGCCCGGGCAGCTGGGAGGCCGAGCTCCAGCGCTTGGCGCGGGGCCCCGAGTAGGAGGGCCTGCCCGAAGGCATGGAAGGCGATTCGAACAGTGAGCACCCCCCCTCCCCGAGGAAGACCGGAAACATCCCGGGCCACCCTGAGGCCTGAGGCTGGCTCGGACAGACCAGGGCCGGTACCTCGAGTGCCTTCACATAGCCACCGACGTCCAGCATCAGGCCGGAGGTCACCTTGTAGTAGCGTCTAGAAACAAGCGGAAAGGGACACAGTGAGTGGAGCCCAGGCCCCGGGAAGCGCCCAGAGGAGCTGTCCTGGCCTGTCCTTGGGGGTGGGGTCAGGGTGCAGGTCAGTTCAGGCACCGCACCGGGATGGCCAGTGGCGGGCCACCATGCCCGGGCTGGGGACACCCGGGCCATCAGCTTGTAGTCGGGCCTTTCCCGGGCCCCTGCTGCGGCTTTGTGGGGGCTCGGCCACGGTGATTAACAGGGGACGCACAGGGCAGATGGACGCAGTTGCTAACGGAGACAGGAGACCTGCGTCTGGGAAAGGACAGTGGGTCCACAGAACCCCTAATCGCTAACGATTAACCCCAATGGCTGCCTGAAGGAGAAAACTCCAATAGTTTCTTCATGCCTGCCGCATGGTCTCTTAGCCAGAGGTCAAGAGACGTGCCAGGTTCCATGGGCGCCAGATGCTCTTGTGAGAAGACAGACACGTCTCCCGTCTCACTGGGGAAAGAGACGGCTGGGCCCTCGGGAGAGCCACCTCACCAGTCCCCCTTCCCCTGGCCTAGGCCCCCAAAACCTGGGAGACGTTAAATCACGTGTGCACACAGGGCCAAAGGGGAGAAGAGAGAAGTGCTCTGGCTTCTGCGGTCAAAGCCTCTCTGCTCCTTTCTAACTGAGGGACTCTGGGTTGCGTCAGCCCTCTGGGCCTCAGTTTCCTACCCTATAAAATGGGCCCAAAAAGCCCTAGTACCTACTTCACGTGTTGTACTGAGGCTTGAACAAAATAACACATGCAAAGTTCTTAACATATGCCTAGCATGGGGAAACTGCTCAAAAAAATGAGAGAATGTTGCTACAAACAACTGCTCCCCTAGACTGAGAATGAAGAATAGGCAAGAAGAGGTGAGGTGGGGAGGAAGGGGGATGTGGGTCTTTGCAGTTTGTGGGCCTGGAACCTGTGCTGTGCCCCGTCTGCGGCGAGGGAACTGGGTGTACCCCCAGCTCCACTGCGCCCAGGACTCTCCCACCCCTCTCTGTGTAGCATGCGGCCCGCGGCACCCAGGCGCCCACGCTCAGGAGCGGCATGCATGCTCCGTCCTGGGTCTGTATCGCCACTGCTGCAGGAGCTTGTGGGCCGGATACAGGCGGGGCTGCAGGGCTTCAGCCAAACCCTTGGCCTTGATGAGGGCTGGTCCCCTGCCACTCACCCCGCCAAGTGGGCGCAGAGCCCGGAGCCCGTTTGTGGACGCCGTGGGAGTGCCTCCTGTCATGAACCCCAGGCCTCCTCATCAGGGTCCAAGGCTCTGTGCCCTACGGGGCACCCCACAAGGCCATGCTCCAGCTGGGACACTGCACGGGTTCAGGAAGGTGCCTCGTGTCCAGAGAGAACTGCCACCCGCTAACAGGGTCGGGACTTGCAAATGCTCCCCCTTCTAAAGGATGACCCCAAAGCACAGACTATGAGGTTGTTAATTGCCCTTGTCTCAAACCCAGGATGTACACGTGCATTCTGCATTCATACAGTCTTTTAAGACTGTGTTTTTATTTTCCCTGTTTGTACAGTACATGCTTCAGGAGGACAATTTCCTTAGCTCGGTCCAGAGTCATACGGCACGGCCAAGGGAAGCGAAGCGTGGCCGAGGGAAGGGGAGACGCTGGGTGCTGGGGCCGGCGGTCCCTGCGGTCGGCTCCATGAACCGGACGCGGCCCCCTCACAGCCCGGTGCGGGACCCAGGGACCTGCCCAGACCCAGGCCTCCCTCCACGAACAGGTACGAAAGGGCAGGGTCCGGGCGCCGGCAAGCAGAACCATGTGCTCTGCGCACTTTGCTTGACTGGCTGGACAGGCTGGGGCCGGGAGACCAGAGGGCGCCCCAGAGAAGGACACATCGCAGCCGAGACCTCCAACGAAGGGAGGGGATGCCAGGGTCCCAGCCTGGGAGCCTCTCAGAATCCACCGGCAGCCCCCCACGGACGACCCCGGCGGCAGGGGGGGCGGGGACAGATGCTGCTCTAGGCACCGCCTTGGTCGGGCGCCCCGAGAGCCACCCTTCGTCCCCTCGCCCTCTGCCTGATGCCTGCTGCGGGAGTGCGGAGGCAGCGGCTCACCCAAAAGCCAAAGAAAAAGTGACCGAACCACGCCAGCCTGCTGCGACAGGCACGGCTCTGTCTGGAGCCGAGGATTCTGGGGGCCGCTGGCCCACTGCCCGGCCCGGCTGGAGGAGGCCGGAGCTGCATGCACCTCCCCTCTGGAGCCCTCCAGGGAGAGCCACAAGGCACAACCCACGTGCCTGTCTCACGTGCCCGCGAGTCTTTCTTCCAAAGGGACAGAAACCTGGACTTTCTTAAGTTTAAATTGAGTCCTGAATGGGAGGAAAAAACTGAAAACCCAGCTTAGAATATTCCGTTAAAATCTTGTCTTTTACACTTGAAACTAATACAAAATAATACTGAATGTAAACTGTCATGAAAAAAATAAAATTTAAAAAAACCCTTGTCTTTGTTACGTGAATTTTTAGAGTGTAAAGAAAAAGCTGACTTTCAAAATCAAAATTAGAAACCTTAATATTTCTTTTCTAACGGGGTCTGAGCTTATTGTTACAGTGCCCCATTTTTTTTTTTTAAATTTCTTATTCATTCAAGACAACAAGAAGGCACCTTGGAGGCCATCTGAGAGCTAAAACCTTTTTAGAGATACAGTAAATACAAGTACCGAAGTTCATTTTTTTAAATACAAAAGCCCAGGTTATTCCCCGAACTCAAGAGACGATGTGTTTGTCTTCCGTTACTGGCGTGACAAAAGCCACGGCAGGCCTGGCTGCGTCCTGAGGGACCAGCCACAGAGAAGGGACCCTGGGTGCTGAAAGGACAGGGAGAGCCGGGAGGAGCAGTTAGAGGGATTTTACGCTTTCCTCCCCTGCTCTTGCGGTCATTCAGCACAGCCTCCCTTCAAAACGATCGCTTGACCTTTCCTACAAGAGCCGTTAACCTTCCATAGTCTGTCGCGTAAACAGCTTCATTTTCTGACGGCAGCGTGACAGAAGAAATTACAAAGGCAATTCCCACTCGCAGTCCAGACAGATGCCCAATGTAAATCACTCCATTTCCCGAGCAGGACATTCTGCCCCAGAGCGCCCGCCGTCCGGCCTCCTCCGGGGCGCCGCCCGGCCCTGCGCCCGTGGAGGACAGCCCCTCACCATCAGGGACCCCCGCTAGGGCGGACATGATGGCAGCGTTCGCGGGTCCGCAGGCTGCCCTGAGACGCTGTGACCTCGCCCGAAAGCTGCCCTTTCTCTCTTGTTCCTGAGCACCCAACCCCGAACTCAAGTCAGAACCCCATCAACGCAGAGACCCCACTCACTGCTGATCTGCAAAACAAACGAGCCTGTTACTGAATGTTACGGAAGAAATTACAAAGCAAAAGCAACAGACACCCTATTTTTTTCTTTTTCAACAACATACCTATTTTGACTACTACCCATAATCTGGAGTAGCTTTTAAGAGGCAGAGACAATTTTCAAGACAAAGGTTCTAACATAAATGAGTTATAATGGAGCTCCTTAATAAGGCTGCTTTCCAGCGATGAGCCGGTCACCTCAGGGACGCCTCAAGGACTAAGCCCGGGATGTAAATGATTGAGCAAGCCGGGTTCTGTGGTCTGCAGTGACCTCCTGGCAGCAGGCGGCAAGGTTACCCAAGGGCACTGACAGTTCACGGCGTGTAAGCAGGCTTGGGCTAAGCTGCCCAGATATTTGGTGGAACATTAGTCTGGATGTTTCTTGGGTGAGAGTAACATTTAAATCCGTGGCCTGTGAGTAAGGCAGATGGCTCTCCATCAGACCACGGGCCTCCTCTGGCCGGGAGGGGACCTGAACAGAACAAAGTCTGATCTCCCTGAGCAAGAAGGAAGCTGCCTGCGGACTCACGATGCAACCCCCCCGTGTTTCCAGCCTGCTGGCCTGCCCTCCACGGTCAAGTCCGCCCCCACCTTATACGTATGCATGTCCCGTTGGTTCCGTTCTCCTGGAGAAGCCTCACTAATACAGGACACAGTTTATCTTCATGATAAACACACTAGAATATTTTAGTTGCAAACAGATCCTCTCTTTTCTTTCTTGAAATGTCTTTTGTTTGCCTCTTCTGATGGTGACATGGCCATGAAGAAACGTTTCTCTACTACGTATACAAACAGCGCCAGACAAAGGCAGCCGACTCTGGAGCCTGGAGAAGTGGGCGGCGGGGGCTGCTGCGCCGGACCCGACGCGGCAGGGGCTCCGGCGAAGCTGCCTTGTGCTCCGCAGTGTGGGGCCCAGGGCTGGCCAATAATCTGATTTTTCAAAGAACCCAGACATCAAGACATTTTATGTAAAATCTCCCAATTTTTAAACATGTCTTGAAAAAAAAGTAAGCTCATGTGTGGGCACACACACCTGCTCTAGAGTGTCACCTAGAGGTGTGGGGCACAGGCTGTGGGTGGTACCGCTGGCCCCGCCGGCCCCGCCAACACCTCCTTCACCTCCACGTGCCTCCACGTGCCCACCTGTCACGTGGCGATGAAACTGTCTGCTGGCCACAGGCTGTGGGTGGAATTGGACGATGTCGAGCACATCAAATGCTCAGCAGCGGCTGGTGCCCAGGTCAAAAGCCCCTGCCTTGTCTATTCGAAGGGCTGGTCCTGTTGGGCAGGCACCTTGGCTGGGAAAGCCTTCCCTGCTGGTGGCCTAGGTCCTGCCTGGCATGAGAAGTGGGGATGGGGCCCAGGGTCCTTGCAACATGGAGAGCCGGGAACCCGGAAACCCTGGCTCTGCCCCTGCAGACGACAGAATAAGCCCGCGCAGCTCTCTGGGAAGCACTTTGGCATCAAGCCGCTCAAAAACGCACCTCATCCACAACCCCAAGAGGCTCATCACGGCCTTCCTGCGGCAGGAAATCAGAAACAACCGAAACGCCCATCAGCGGGCGCGGGTTAAAAGTGCCACAGGATTTCCCATGAGGGACAACCAGGTCACAGGACTCTCTAGTTACTGCACAGAAAATTGTTCACAGAATCAAGTTTGCTCAACACAAGAAACAGGTGACCAGATTCGGTGAGGTTTGACGCTGAGGGGCCATGGCCGTTGGTGACGGCCTCTGTGCACAGGCAGCCACTGGGAAGGACGCACGCCCAGGTGTCAGCAGCTGTCTTCCTTGTGCAACCGGACTGTGCATTTGCTACCACTTGTGCATCTGCGCTCTCTAATTTTTCTTCAATGACCACGTGCTGCCTTGGTGGTGAAGGATGTCGTAAAAAATAACCAACAAGCTTTTGTAAAAGGAAGAAATGCTAAAGGCTCAGACAGAAACAACGGTCACAAAATCACCACTCGACAGAGACCACGCTCTGCACCCAGAGACGAGGGGCCTGGACCAGAGCCACCCACAGGCGCTCGAGCCCCGATTTTCACGACTTAGGGGTCTCCCAGCACCACCTCTCAACACCTGCGCTGTGTCCTCTGCAAGTGGCCTTCCTGTCCTCGGCTCTCAACTTGGGGCGATCACACTTGCCCTCTGAGATCTCCAAGGACAATGGCTGTCTGTGATGACCCTCCCCGATGCCCCCATGCCCACGCCCCCCCACCCCCTGGCCCAGGGCCCACAGGGAAGCTGGACCAACCAGCTCCTGCGGATTCAGATTTCCTAAAAAATTATTAAAAGAAAGGAGGGAAGAATTGGAGTGAAAAAGCAAGAAGAGGGAGGGAGGGAAGAGGAAGTCACCCCGCGCCCACACTTCCCTCCCCCTCTACTTGGTTCAGTGAGTCAGAGACCCAGAGCCACCTGCCCCGGGGCCCACTTACCCCATCCCCAGCGATATGAGTACAGGATTCTCCAGCTCCATGAGCACCTGGAAGGCTTTATTCATGTTCTGATAAGAAAAATTTTCTCCTGCATCTGCAATTACGACACAGTTTGGGTTGGACGTGTCGATCTCATCAAATTCTGAGCGGACTTCTGCGGAGAGAGAAAGCGGGATAAAGCCCAGGGTGCCATGGTTGCCTCCCGTCCCCACCCGGGCGCCTCCGGTCTGCCACGCCTGCCCGTCCTTCCCAAGGTGCACTCCGTCTTTCCCCTGCCCACCCTGGGGGGGCGGACAGGAAGGGGGGTTACTCCCATCTTACAGCTGAGGGGATTCCAACCACCCAAGGCTAGAGAGCTTATCAGGAGAAAGATGGGGGCACCCCAGGGACCCCATCCCGGCACAGGCACCACCCCGAGAGCCCCTTAGCTCTACAGCACAGGCAGGAAACCCGTAACTTGGCCCCTAGAAGGGAGCTCGGCCTGGAGGACAAGCAGGATGAACTGAGGCCGCCTGCAACCTCCACAGAGTCGCCACTGCTGGCCCCAAACTGTAAGGCCATTGGCACATGTCAGCCAGACCCCAGTGGGGAGGGACAGCAGGGACACACGGATGTCCTGAGAAGGAGGAGGAGGAGGAGGAGGAGGAGGAGGAGGAGGAAGAGGAGAGTCACACCCAGCCCCTTCCCTTAGGAAATTCTCTTCCTCCTTCTCTGCATCTTCTCTCCCCCATTTAAGGGAAAACAGGAGAGCCACAGGGTGAATCGGGTCCCTGACCCCTGTCTTCAGCTCCCAGGAAGAAACAGACCCTCGAACATCTCTAATAAATGTTGGCCTTTCTGGATTTATAAAAATGGAAGTAACCACAAGGTCATACCACCTCTCACGCACCGACCAGGACTGGGGAATTAGAAAGACCGATAACACCAAGTGCTGGAGGGCGCAGAGCAGCGGCAGGCGTGGCAGCTTGTAAAGCGGAACACACGCTGCCCTGTGCTCAGCAATTCCGCTCCCAGGCATCTCCCCAAAAGGACTCTGCGGGACTGTCCAGTCATTTCAGCCACCCAGAGTTTTTCAAACTGGAAGTGACCCAGGCGGCTGCTAACAGCAGACCCGCGAAACAGCCGCGGGACGTCTGCTCAATGACCACAGCCCTGCAGCGAGAAGGAAAGGCCCCAGGGCCCATCCCACCCTCCCATGAATCTCAGAACAGCCTGTGGAGCGACAGAAACTCCCACCGTGGAAGGAAGGGTGGGCCTGGCAGGCTGGGCTGCTCACACGTGCACGCCCCCGAGGAAGACTGGCTGGGGGTGGGGGGGCTCCGCCAGCTCCGGGACCCTGAGGCCCTGGGGCGTCCTGCCCGCAGTGAGCGGTTTGGCAGGCCTGGGGCCCTGGGCCATGCGCAGTCGGTATGACGCCCGGGGACACCGAGACTGAGTCGCCAAGGTCAGTCACAGGGGCACCGCATGCCTAACTGGCTGACCTTTAATCCGAGCCCTGGACCCGAGGCCCCAGGGAGCTCCCCCGGGTGACGTCACTCTGCAGGTCTTGGCGTGTCACCACGGGAGGATTAGGCAAGTCCCAGTGCAGCTCTGCTGGGTGAGGGGGCGCCTGGAAGGAGCGCCTGGATTCTGCTGGAGTTTGCCCCGGGCCCTTCCCTTGGCCGAGCTGAAGCCTCCGCATTCCTTCCCTGTGACGAAGTGCAGACGCGTGGCAGCCTTTCGGAGCTCTCCGACTCCTCCAGCAAACCATCCGGCCTGCGGGTGGTCTGGGGACCCCCGCACAACTCGAGGCTGCGTAATTCTTTTCACAAGAACCTCCAGACAAGGCAAACTTGTCTATAATGGAAACTAGGCAAATAGGGGGTGCCTCTGAGGGGAGGCGGGCTGCCTGGGAAGGGCATGAGGGGAGTTTCGGGGTGAGTGGAAAGTTCCAGATGTCGGTGGGGGTTTGGGTTACACAGATGTGTTCATGTGTCAAAGCTCAGCAAGAATGCACTTGAGATGCTTGCATTGCACTGTGTATGAACTTTAGATTTATTAAAAAAAGCCCTGGCCAGTGTGGGTCAGTTGGTTGGGAGTTGTCCTGAAAAGCAAAATGTCACCAGTTTGGTTCCCGGTCAGGGCACATGCCTGGGCTGCGGGTTGGTCCCCAGTTGGGATGCGTACAAGAGGCAACTGATGAATGTTTCTCTCCCTCTCTCTCTCCCTTCCTTCCTCCCTCTCTAAAAATAAATAAATAAAATCTTTTTAAAAAATATTGTAAACAGACATTGACGTCTACTTGCCAATGTGCTGAAGCATTTTGGGAAGGGGGACCCATGCCTGTGGTTTACTTTACATCAAAGGGTGAGCTGGGCGGATGCACGGAGGGATGGGTAGATGTACAATGAGGAAAACAGTGAGAGGTTGTTGGTAAAATCAAGGCGATGGGTATGCCAATATTCTAAGTAACATGGTTTCAGCTTTGCCATGTATTCAAATTTTTTCATAATAAAATGCTGGGGAGGTGGGGGAAATCCATCAACAAAAAAAACTTGAAAGAAAGATTCAAGTCAGAAAACACAGGTACACTTCTGGACACCAGAGACATAGGAGGACAGCTGAGTGGGGCACCTGGCGTCCCCTGCTCGTGGGACCACGGAGTTGCCCCTCCTCGGCACGTGCCGGCTTCTCCCCTGCTCTCTGCCTGCTCCGTCCCCACCCCGCGCTGGCCCTGGGGAGAACATGTTCTTTCCTAAGTTTTTCTCTGTCTGGGAGGATGTGTTCTGAGGACACTGCAGGGATCCTGCGTCACAAAGGAGGGATTTGGCGGAAGCTGGTTTCCGACGGCCGGGCGTCTGCCCTGGGTGGGCACCAGAGCTGCGGACAGGACGCAGGGCCTCGCAGAGGGCACCGGCGCTCTGGGGCCCGCTCCTGCTGGGACGCGGAGACGCAGGCCTGCCCAGGTCGGCAGTCTGTGAACAGAACACCCAGGGCAGGGGAAGGAGCAGAGGCAGGCAAGCGTCCTGGGCTCTGAAGCACTGCTCAGGGCTCTGCCTCTTAAACGTTCCCAGGCAGCAGGCCAGTTGCCCTGCCATCCGGCCCAGAGAACTCCCCGCCGAGGGCCAGGGCAGCTCTTCCCTTGCATGCAGCCTAATCAGGACGCGAACATTGCGCCATTCGCCAGAGCAGGGCCGGATGCCAGACGTCAGGACCCTGCAGCCCTCGGCCTCTCCCTCCCTCCACACTACCCCAAACACACGCACCAGAAGCTAGAATCTTACCCCTGAGAGTTCCCTGCCCCCTTGGTCTATTCTCGATCAAACAATGACAATGCAGGTTCTCCCCTGAGGGGCCATCGGGAACTTAAGGCCCCTCTGGTGAGAGGCTGGGGCCCCGGAGGTTTCTGGCACATGGGCCCATGGGCGCGGGCAGCAGGAGCCAGGGGCCACTCTGTGTCCTTCCAAGTGGTTTGCCCCAGGTGAGAGAGATGCTGTCCCCACCCCTCCTGGAAGGGGGTACCTCTGCCTCTACCAGGGCCCGGCGCTGGGCTGGCCTACCGTCGTGAACAAGCAGGTATGGCCGAAGGCCTCGCTCCTTCAGGATCTGACAGGCGGCTGGGGGTGGGGCCGTCACCTCGCTCTCGGAGACGTCAAAGCCCAGGTGGCGAAGCTCCCCGACCAGGCGTCCACGGGACTTCTGTGACTCGTTGGTGCACAATCTCACCTTCAACCCCGACCGCTTCAGTCTGCAGGTGGGAACAGGTGGAAGATGCTGTCACCAGGCAGAGTGTGTGGCCTCCTGGGGAGATGGCTAGACAAGTGCTTCTCCAAGGGCACCAGGTATACCCCCAGGGCGGGCCAGGCCACCGAGGTCCCTGAGGTGGGCCTTCAGCGACCCCGGAGTGTTCGGGTTGGTATTTCTGGGTGGAGGCAGACCTTTCCAGGAGACCTGACTGTTCCCCCCCCACATCCCTCCTTCTCATCCCCGCTGCGCTTGGCGCGCCTGAGGGTCCCCAAGGTTCCCACCTGACCTTCGCCCATGCCTCCCTTTCCACCCGGGACATGTCCCTGTGCCTGAAACACCGTTGCTCCTCCACCAGGGACACGTCCTCACCCCTTCTGCCTCTCCGCACCTTGTCCAACTTCAGGGAACCACTGGGCACCTCCCTCCACACACCATCTCGCCTGGCCTAGCTAGAGGTCACCTCCTCACGTTCTAGCAATCTCTCCGTACCTTTCCGCAATAACCTGCGCTTGCACTTTGCATCTGAACTGTGCACAGGCCTAATTAACTCTGGATGCATATTTCCCCTGAAGGGCAAAGCCCGAGAGACCCAGCGGAGGTGTGTCATACCCCGGCCCCGTGTGCTCTGGAAGGTCAGGGAGGGGTCTGCCCGGCTCTCCCCAGCACCCGGGGCTTCGCGCAGGGCTTGGCACCCAGCAGGTCCCTGGTAAGTGTCGGCGGAGTGACTGACTGATGCAAAGTCCACAAGATGGCCGGCGAGGGGGGCCCTTCCTCATGACCGCACTGACCTCGCCGGCCGCTTCCTCGGGCCTGCGGCCCCCCACGGGCCCTGATGGGAGCAGCCAGGACTCAGCGTGAACACTCATAGTGCCACGTTCCCACGGGCCACCAGGCCCTCTGGGCCTTGGAGCTGGCAGGGACGTTCGGGAGGAAGTCTGCAGGGCTGCTGGCAACACAGTGGACGCAGACCCAGAGGCTGACAGCGTCTTAATCAATAGCCCAGGTGATTCGGTCCTTCCTTAGTATTTGTCTTTCCTAATCAGAGGGTTATGAATTATCAATTATGCTGAGTGGTTAATTGCCCTTCATAAAGACAGCTTTTGTATTTTTAATGAGGCAGTTAATTATTGTAACTAATAGCATCACCTTGTACGTTATAGACAAATCTTCATTGATTGGCGCCCAGAACGTGTGATTCACACCCAAGTTAATGGAGCCGTTGAGTGAAGAAGCGCGGGAGGTGCCGGGGGACTAATTAATGCTAATGAATTATGATGTGACCTTCTCAGAACAATGAACAAGCCGTGGGACAGTGAGATGACAGTGCCTCACATCTGCTCTCCAAACACGACTTCAGAAGCCCGTGAACAAATGAGTAAACAACAGAACCCACTTCGGGACACTTCGGCCTCTGGGCTCCGTGGAAAAAGCAACCAATGTTTGGTCTCCTCCTCCACATCTGCTTTCATATCCGAGCAACAGGTTGGGGTCAATCAGTCCCCAAAGAGCCTGTTAGGAGACGGGGGGGGAAGTGCCCTCCCTGGGGTCTGTTGGTGCCCCAACCGCCCACCCCCTTCGGAGGCGTCACCACTAGGGACCAGTCCCAGGTCCTTTCTTCATTTTTCTTAGTCACTGAAAACAACGCAAGGGTCATTATTGCTGCTAAAATGGTGATGTGTGAATACAGACCGTGGGTCTTGCTTTCATCCCCTCCCTGAGGGCAGAGCCACCGGGCCTGTGTTCCCTACACATGTCCCCGGGGCCAGGTGCGGGGCGACTCTCAACTGCAGCCTGTGCTGATGCGGCCGGAAGCACTAGCTGCATTCCGGAGGCGGGAAAACGGAGGCTCCAGACACCCTCCAGGTTGGGCGGCTTGCGAGCAGCAAAGCCAACAACTGGCTGTGGCTGTGCGGTGGTGTGCGCAGGCCCTGCCGCCACCAGCGACGGCGGGGGCACGTTCCCGGTAAGGAAGCGCCGTGTGCGGTGAGTCCCAGCGGTCCCAGGAACGCAGGCCCAGCTCCTCCTGCCAGAAGGGAAACTAACACTCCCCAGGTGAGCCGGGGTGCGCGCCGGGCGCACGTGGGCGTGCACGCCGCGCCAGGAAGCGTGGGAGGACGGGTCAGCACTGAAGGTGCGCCCCTGAACGGCCGATGCTGTGGCCTGAACTGTGTCAAATGAGGTCGTAAGGGTGGGGATGTGCTAGGATCGGATTAGTGTCCTTACAAGAAAAGACACCAGAGACCCCTCTCTGTGTGCACAGAGGTGCGGCCCGGTGAGGGCACAGGGCACGGCGAGAAGGGGAATGCCTGCCTCACGAGAGGAGAACTCCCATCAGAACCGACCCGGCTGGTACCTTGATCTTGGACGTGCAGCCTTCAGAACGCCGAGAAAATAAAATTGTGCCCTGGCTGGGGTGGCTCAGTGGATTGCGTTCCGGCCTGCAAACCAAAGGGTTGCCGGTTCGATTCTCAGTCGGGGCACACGCCTGGGTTGCAGGCCAGGTCCCCAGGAGGAGGTGTGCGCAATGCAACCACACATTGATGTTTCTCTCCCTCTCTTTCTTCCTCCCTTCCCCTCACTCTAAAAATAAATAAATAAAACCTTTAAAAAGTAAAATAGCATTGTGTTGTTTAAGCCCTCCAACGTGTGGAGCCAGGGCCTCCTCGCAGCCTGCAAGGGCTCCCAGGGGAGTGAATCCAAAGGGCTCGGCACCAGGGGCCGGCCAGCCCCAGGACAGGACAGGTTATCCCCCAACACCCAACACCCGGGGGACAGGAGCCCACTGCAGGGCCGCCCCGGCCCAGAGTGGGGCTCTGGCTGAACGGCCCCCGAGACCACAGCTGCTGTCCCCTCCCAGGAGCCCTGGTGCAGATCCCCTGACTCCCAGTGGCCACACCGGGTCTTTGAACTGACCTTTACCTCACCTTGGCAGGCCAGGACAACCTCCAAGTGACAACCTCTGAGTGACAACGCTGTCGCCCGGCGCAATTACTGTGCATCACAGGAACCGGTCCCTTGCAAATCACCTCGGACCTTACACATCTGCTGGCTGTCGGCAGCTGCCGGGGGCGCTCACCCGAAAATAATGGAAGCCCTCTCATTACGCGCGGCAGCAGGTAGAGCATTAGGAGGACTCCTGGGCACCAGTCTGACCTTGGCACGGCTCCACAGCCGGCTGCCCGCTCAGGTCCCACGGGGGGCCCACAGGGGAGGCTGTGCCGGGGCCAGGAGGCCGCCCAGCCGGGCCCAGGCCCCTTCTGGCTGGGCCTGTCTCAGTACCCATGCCCAGCTCTCGGGGATCCACCACCTTCGGCCGACCCACAGTCCCTCTCTCTTCACCCTGAGCCTGCCTGCTCGGTCCCCCAGTGCCCCGTCCTGCTTAGCCCTCTGGGCCTGGTCCCTACGTCCCTTCCTCCAGGAGGGCCCCAGACCCTCACCCTGCCCAGCCAGAGTCTGCCTTCCGCTGAACGGCGTCACAGCCCTGGACGCAGCCCTGGGCACCGGCCCCAGGCCGCCCTTCATTTGCTCGCTGCCCGCTCCTCCTGCTGGGCCTCTCAGCGCAGGCGGGAGCCCTCGCCCCCTTGCCGCAGCCACCCCGACGCCAGGGGGCCAGCGTGGAGGCTCTGGGAGGCCAGGCCAAGCATGGCGGCAACCCCCCACCTCCCACCCGGTAAGAGACCCCCAGACAGTTGCAGGGAGGAGGCCTCAGCTGAGTAGGTTCCCGGGTCGGAGGGTGAGGCCACAGCTGGCAGGTCAAACCTGAGGTGGCAAATGAGATCAGGGTTCTTGCCTCCTTTGATCCCTAGGCTGGTCTTCAAAGAGCTGCATGAGGCCCTCAGACCCACCAGGGCTGGAGCTCTGTTCTGCCCCCTCCCTCCTGGGTGAGGCAGGAGAAACTCACTCCAGGAGGAAGGCAGGTGGGGGGGTGGGGGGTGGGGACGGGAGGGCTGTTTCCCCTCATTCCTGCCTCCCTGACCCGCCAGCCTGCTCCGCCCCTGGGGCGACAACTGAAGACGTGACCTGGTGGGGTGGGGGGTCCTTGTTACTCCCAGAGCGGGAACGGCTGCCAGTAAGTCGAACTCTGTGCCTCAGTTTCCTTGGACAGGGAGGGGACATTCACAGCACCTCCCGGGGCTGCTACGAAAGGTGCCAGCGCAGGGCCCGGCCCGCGGGAAACCCTCAGCTCGGCCACCCCGGGGGCGTCACAGCCCCCAGGCAGCGGGGCTCTGCAGACCCGCCGGGACTCCGCGGTCCTTGGCCCCTTCCCTTTCAGAAGCCGAGGAAATGGAAAACACACCTCTGGAGAAACAAAACCTGCAAAGTGCCCCTTTGTTCTAGGAAGTGACATTTTTAGAACAGAAGGTCAAACTGCACCTGTGAGCAGAGCCGCACTGGCCTTGCAGGAGGCAAGTGCCGGCACCCCAGACGCAGCCAGGGGTCCCGGGGGCGTCCCCGCCCAGCTCCCCGAGTGCCCCAGCAGGTGTCCGCTCAGGGCCCGGGAGCCGAAGGTGGGCGCCCCCCGGGGAGTGGGCCTGCACCTGCGCCTGCGCAGGCCCCCAGCTGAGCGTCCCTGGGCCCCATTCTCGGGGTCCTTGAGCCCCAGCCATGAAATGAAACAGCGGTGGCACCTGACCCTCTGGCCGGCTCTCCAGGTGGGCACTGCAGACACGTGGCAGGCCCTCCCTCATGCTGGTGTCACCACGGGACCATGGGCGCTCAGGGGCCGGTGACGGCCTCGGCCGGGGCTCCAGCTGCACCTCCCCCTTCTCTCCGCCGGCCGCTGGGACAGCCCTCTCTGCGAGTCTGACAGCCCTGCTCCACCCTCCTGGGAGGTCCCTCCCCGCTCTCCGCTCACACTGCTGGACACCGTGTCGTCAGAGTCCAGGCAAGAAACACAGTCCACAGTGTGGGCAGAGAGGTGAGAACACGGGATGCGGCGAAGCACATGGCCGGACCTTGGATGGGCTCAGTCCTGGCCGGCCAGCCAGTGACCTCATGGGG